TACACAATTATATACTTGGTTATATATATATATATATATATATATATATATATATATATATTAAAAAATTCAAATGATTAAAAAAATTAACTCTATATATTGCAATGATTTGAAATAATCTTAAATATTGTGTTTATCTTAGTTTTTACCATAAAAAATAGATAGTAATATTTTGTTTTGTTTTTCATGCGAGAATTTAAGTGATGTAGATAAGCAGTAATTTAGAAAATATATGTTATGTTTATATTTCTAACATGGACGAATATTCAAATATATATATATATATATATATATATATATATATATATATATATATATATATATATATATATATATATATATATATATATATATATATATATATATATATATATATATATATATATGTATATATATATATATATATATATATATATATATATGTATATATATATATGTGTGTGTGTGTAATATATAATTTACGATATAACAAAAAATCGAATATTTCGTTTTTGAAATATTCTAATAAATTCAAAAGATTTTAAATTTGAATATTTAGTTTTCATCTATAAGCATTTCAAAACCCTATATTCTGCTAACAATGCAATATTCTTCTCTGAACCCTGACCAACAAAACATCGCGCAAATTTAGTTCTATCTTTGATAAGTAATGGGAAATATTTTTGATAACAATTATTATTTCTCTAGATATCAATTGACAAAATTTTTGACATATGCTAACTTATATAATTTTACATTTATCAATTGGAGTTATTATTATTATTATTATTTAAGCAGAAAAAAGCTGAACGAGGCAAATTTAACATCTAATGACATCGGACGTTTTTAACGTTTCGATGTAAATTATAACTATTTTTTTTTTATTTCTCGTCTCCACCTGTTTTCCTACTTTATATATAACAGTGCTTCCAGTAATAAAGCCGGTGTTCTTTCTTGGAATGAAAGGCGTCACTAATAATTTTGGTCCATCTGGTCATTCATTTAAGCAAAATTATTCTGAGAATGTAATAATCATGGGAAATACTGTAAGCGGCTGGAAAGCGAATATTTGATTTGAGTTTTTGTGAATGAACGACAGAATAAAGAAAAAGAACTGGTAATGGAGCAACATTTACTAAGGTCAAGATAAATATACAAAGTCGTGGAGAACCATGATAACATACATCCATGTAAAAATGGACGAACATCAAAGAAAGGGATTAAGTTAATAAGTAAACTGGGTGTGTGTCTGGTGTTACGTATTGCAGCTCGGAATGAGAAGTTAGAGAACCAAGTTCGAAATCCAGCATGGTATGAATCCATCTCTTCTGCCGCCATCTTGGGTTAATTTGCAAGAGAGTCGGAATTCTATAGCCTTGGTTGCTAACAATTCTAGAGATGGTAACTCGATAAAATCTCCAATCTACCAGCAAACGTGAAAGAGGTTAACATGAAAAAAAAAGAAAGAAAGAAAAAATATTAGAAAAAAGAAAAGTGTTAGCATAACAGATTTTAGAAACTTGTGAAAGTACTGACTTTAAAGAGGTGAGCGTGGGCATATAGAGCTGTTTCGTTTTTCGAGTGAAGGTTGCATTAGTCGAAATAGCGAAGTAAGGATGATTTCGAGCAGTCAGTTTTCCAAACGGCGGAAAGCCTGTCTATTTTGAGTCTTATTACGTCCACTAGAACACCAACAATTACACCCAAATGAGTATATGCTAGAATTATGAAGACATGGTACAGATGCCAATCCTACACTTTTAGTGGAATAGGGAGGTACGGTCAGTGAAGCAGATCCCCAGTACCTGAGTTTAAACTTCATATAGTGATCTCTGGCAACGAACGAGCAAGTATACTGCTTACTGAATTACAGGACAGTTTTTATTGTTTTATTTTAATGTGACAAATAGGAAATCCTTGAAAGGATAGAACGGGGTAAAAAGGAAGGCGACGATAAAGTTATTTAAGGAAGAAAGAAAAATCCAGAAAAGGGGAAGATAACAAAAGAGAGAATAAATAAAAGAAAGGAAAAAATGAAAGAAATAGAAAATCGTACAAGAAAATAAAAAAAAAAAATTAAAGTATAATTATAAAAAAAAAGAGAGAAAAATAACACCTGAAAGCAATAAAGTAAGAAGAGAGGATAAAACGGAAAGGGATATCGTAAACAAAAAAAGAAAGAGAGGAAGATAGAGAATAAAAAACAAATTGAAACGAATAAAGAATGTAAAAGGAAAAAGAGAAAGAAAAGTATGTAAATAATACAAGAATAAAGGAAACAAAAAGGGATTATTAAAAATGAAGAAAAAAGCTGAAGAAACATTTTTCATTAAATATTATCTTTATCTTTTATTACATTTCGTTCAATTTTTCTTTCAGTCTTCTTTCTTTCTGTCTTCTTTCTTTCTGTCTTCTTTCTTTCTTTCTTTCTTTCTGTCTTCTTTCTTTCTTTCTGTCTTCTTTCTTTCTGTCTTCTTTCTTTCTGTCTTTCTTTCTTTCTTTCTTTCTTTCTGTCTTTCTTTCTTTCTTTCTTTCTGTCTTCTTTCTGTCTTCTTTTTTTCTTTCTCTCTGTCTTCTTTCTTTCTGTCTTCTTTCTTTCTGTCTTCTTTCTTTCTTTCTTTCTTTCTTTCTTTCTTTCTGTCTTTCTTTCTTTCTTTCTTTCTGTCTTCTTTCTGTCTTCTTTTTTTCTTTCTCTCTGTCTTCTTTCTTTCTGTCTTCTTTCTTTCTGTCTTCTTTCTTTCTTTCTTTCTTTCTGTCTTCTTTCTTTCTGTCTTCTTTCTTTCTGTCTTCTTTCTTTCTGTCTTTCTTTCTTTCTTTCTTTCTTTCTGTCTTTCTTTCTTTCTTTCTTTCTTTCTTCTTTCTGTCTTCTTTTTTTCTTTCTCTCTGTCTTCTTTCTTTCTTTCTTTCTTTCTTTCTTTCAGTCTTCTTTCTTTCTGTCTTCTTTCTTTCTTTCTTTCTTTCTTTCTTTCTTTATTTATTTATTTATTTCCATGTGATATTTATCTATTAATTTATTTATTTCGTCATTTTTTTCTTTCTTTACGTTATTTATTTATTTACTCTATTATGTTTTTTTTTCTTTTTACTTTCATTCTTTGTTTTTTTTTTCTTTCGTTCATTCATTCTCTCCCTCTTCTTTTTTCTTTCTTTCTATCCATGCGTTATTTATTTATTTCTGTGCTATATTTATTTCTTCAATTTTACATTTAATTTTTTCTTTCTTTCTTTTTACTAAATTTACGTCACTTATTTCTCCATTTATAGATTTTCTGTCGTTTTTTATTCCTAAATTTCTTTACGTTATTTATTTATTTCTTCAAATTTACATTTTCTTGCTTTTCTCTTTCTTTCATTCTTTCTTTCTTTTTTCTTTCTTTCTTTTTTCTTTCTTTCTTTTTTTCTTTCTTTTTTTCTTTCTTTTTACTATATTTATGTTATTTATTTCTGCTCCTTATTTATTTTTTTGGATTTCCACATTTTCTTTCTTTTTTCTTTCCTTCTTCTTTCATTATTCTTTCTTTTTTTCTTTTTCTTTCTTTCTTCTTTCTTTTTTTCTTTTTTGTTTCTTTATTTCTTTTTTTAAGTTTTTTAGTATTTATTTATTGCTTAATCTATTTCTTCATTTTTAATTCCCTTTTTTCTCGATTTCTTTCATTCTCTCTTTCCTTATTTATTTTCCTTCTTTATTTATTTTCCTTCCTTATTTATTTCATATACTTGTTTATTATATTTATTTCTCCATTTTAATTAGTTCATTTCTACATTTTCTTTCAGACGCAAAAAAATTAAAAGCGAAAGAAAAAAATACGAGCAGGTGTAACTTATATAATTCCGGGTAAATTCAGTTAATTAAAAATAATAAATAAAAAGTATACAAATATATATTTTTCAACATTGAAATAATAGAATTCAAAAATTTTAAAAAATGCGTAAATTTTTAGTTGTTGTTTTCCTATTTTTTTTGTTTGTTTTTCACAACTTATGCGACGTAGGCCTCAGCACCTAGAGCCGGATGTGACGGTGGCTATTGGTCCACCTCAGGGTGAGAAGCAGCGGGTGTCTCTACATTCTAGCGGGTATGTCGACAACGAGTTGACAAGAAGTCCACAAAGCCTATTCAGAGACGATCGCATTACGAACTGAGGAGAATGTATATATATATATATATATATATATATATATATAAGAAGAGAATGAAAATTGCTGTTCGTACTGTTGACTATTTCATCCGAAAAAAATGCGGGAATATATATATATATATATATATATATATATATATATATATATATGAGAAGAAGAGAAAGGAAAAGGACATGAGAGGACAGGAGAGCAGGACGTTGCCTTTTTGTAAAAGGTGATCTGGAAAACGCTGTCGGTATGTGAAATATGGAAGAGAAACGTAAGGGTCTTTCTTAAACGCTGTCTTTGCTTTTCCTATCTGCATAAATACACGCCAGACCACCTTTTACATTTCTTTCTATGTCTATATTTGATGCATGTCGAAATCGAATGAAGTATTTACCTGTCAACCAATCAATGAACAGTTATCTGTTTATATGAAAGGAATTAAAAAAAAAATTCAATGGTCATTTGGTCAGATATTTTGTGAATGAGGATTTACCGAAAAGGTAACAGTTCAAAGTCCTTTCGCTTATTCTAATTAATATTTTTACAGCTGTTTTTCAACAAACAGGTTTCATTAAAGAACAGAAAAAAATTATTTTGATATTTTTTTTTTATTGAAATTCCCGTTTTTGTACAAGATAACGCAGATTTGGTCACGGCGTATGTACTGTGTATTTATTATAAATCTATAGAAATTTAAATATATGAAGTAAATCTCGCTAGCAATGTAGATATGAACATACTGTAAAAGCGATTGGTCATATGGCGTGTTAGAAATTATATGTCTAGGTAGAATGAAATAAGAAAGAAACTTAGAAAAATAATGCATTTTATTTTAGAATTATTTGTTTTCGGACACACATCTTTTATGACATGAGGACGAAATATGTAAAAAACTAAGTGAAAAAAGAGATACTTGAATTCATATACAAACACAGATAAACGCGTAAACAGACAGACAGACAGATAGATAGATAGATAGATAGATAGATAGATAGATAGATAGATAGATATGAGTAGACTATCTATGTCAGTCTGTTCATATCTATCTATGTCAGTCTATTTAGATCTATCAATGTAACGCTATTCATTTCTATCTATCTATCTATCTATCTATCTATCTATCTATCTATCTATCTATCTGACTCTATTCATATCTATCTATATATCTAGCTAGCTAGCTAGCCAATTCTATTTATCTATCTATCTATCTATTTATTTATGTTAGTCTATTCATATCTATCTATCTATCCATCTAACTATCTGACATAGATATGAAAAGACTGAGAGAGATAGATAGATAGATAGATAGATAGATAGATAGAGAGAGAGAGAGAGAGAGAGAGAGTGAAAGAGAGAGTAGGTGAAGGATTGGAAGGTGAGTTGGTTGAGGCAATTAGATGTTACATTCCGAAAGAA